ATTTCCCATCTCAACACAAAACAATGTATCCGCCTCTTTCTCGTTCTATTGTTATGGATGTTGCTAAAATTGCAATAACATGGCATTACAATTTACTATTCTGACAATCATATCTGTGAAGAGGACATTTACCTCCAGTCCTACATAGACACAAGAAATGCTGCATAGTCATTTGCGGATATCCCACCAGCCGGTTAAACCGTCAGGCACCCAGCTAGCCAGCAAACCAGTAATGTTAACATTGAACTCTCATTGGGATATTTGTAGTTATTGATAGGATTGGATGTGTATTGTTGGAGGAACAACTTGCATTTCATTCTATCTGATATTGACAGAGTTCATCGGGCGAGAATGAAAGTGAGAAACAGAAGTACAGAGCAAGTTCAATGCTTCATTGTCCGGAATAATGAATTTTTAATTACCCATAGAGGGTGTTGGGAGTACCGTTTAATGGCTGCATCGATTTAATTGATTTCGTAAAATGACACTAACATTGTTAAATGGCAGCAGCGATAATGAATGAATGAATTGGTTTAATGCAATTATACATGAGCTCTTTTAAATGGTATAGTAAAGTTTGTGGTACTACTTACTTTAAATTGGAAATCTTAGCTGGGTGTATACGTTTTTGTAAAATGCGTTATTGTGTCTGTTAATTTCCTGCTGAATTTAAGTCCAAGTGTAAAAAATAGGTATTTCTACGGGACAGTTGAAAACATCCACGATGTTGGCGCCGGTAGCATAGTGCCGCGGGAATGTTCGCTACAGGAGAAAAAAAAAAAAACAAGTGAAAAAGCTGTAAATTCGGCCGGGACGAACTTTGACTACCTTCCACCATTTGGAACGAATTAAAAATTTTCAAAAAATAAAATCCGTTAAAAATTCTGTTAAAATCTTAAAAATGGCGAATATTGCCGTTAAGGTCTATACAACGTAAACCTACATACGTATTGTTTGTCATAAGCTGTTACCATATTCAAATTCGAAACTAGAAATAAACGGTGAATAATGTAGCTAAAATCATCGAAATACCGTATATAGGGAGGTACCGTTATATCAAAGCTATACGAAGACTTGGACCTGGAAAGACACTTTTCTGTCACAGGCTGTAGCATCCATTACGAACTTCAAATACGACATCTCAAACAATTTCGGTGAGTACCTAAAATTGTCGAAATACCGAATATAGAGAGGTACTTATTATTATTCAAAAAAAAAAAAAAAAAAACAAGCTAAAGTAAGTAAAAGTAGTATACTTAAACGAAGACGTGGACCTGTATAGGCAAGTTTTGTCATAGACCATTACAATATACAAATATGAAACTAAAAAAATGCTGGTGAATAATGTCACAAAAACATCAAAGTATCAAATATAGGGATGCACCGTTATATGGGGGATATACGAAGACGTGGACCTGCATAAGTCATTTTCTGTCATAGGCTATAATATCCATTGTGAACGTCAGATACCAAATTTGAAATAATTCCGGTGAATAATATCGCTAAAATCATCAAAATACCGAATATTGGGAGGTACCGTTATATGGGGGCTGTATGAAGACGCGGACCTGCACAGACAACTTTCTGTCTTAGGTTGTAGTATCTTTTACGAACTTCAAATGCCAAATTTGAAACAATTCCGGTGAATAATGTCGCTTAATGTCGCTTAATATATATATATATATATATATATATATATATATATATATATATATATATATATATATATATATATATATATATATATATATATATATATATATATATAAATATAAATTTTAGCTTTCTATATTTATTCGTTTTGACTCTATCTTGATTGGGACTAAATCGTCTTGGAATTTTACGCTGATCAGGAATATATATACTTTGTTGGGTCTAAAATTATGACGAACTTAATATACCCTCCATACTATGTATGGTGGAGGGTATAAAAATGGCTCAACTCCTAAGTCCCTGTAGACAGGAAGCTTATGAAATCTTTTCGATATTTCTTAATATTGGAGACATTTTCCGTCATTTTCATGTCGGTAAGGTAGATTCATAAACAAAACTTGGATGGAGTCAGAGGCAAAAAATGGCTCGACTCTGGATCCTAGTAAGCAGATTGATCTGGAAACCTTTTCGATAAACTTTATAGACATACCAATAGCATACGGTTTGGTACTTTGTTAAATATATAAATGAACAAGGCGACCTTTCCCTATTTCCCATCTCAACACAAAACAATGTATCCGCCTCTTTCTCGTTCTATTGTTATGGATGTTGCTAAAATTGCAATAACATGGCATTACAATTTACTATTCTGACAATCATATCTGTGAAGAGGACATTTACCTCCAGTCCTACATAGACACAAGAAATGCTGCATAGTCATTTGCGGATATCCCACCAGCCGGTTAAACCGTCAGGCACCCAGCTAGCCAGCAAACCAGTAATGTTAACATTGAACTCTCATTGGGATATTTGTAGTTATTGATAGGATTGGATGTGTATTGTTGGAGGAACAACTTGCATTTCATTCTATCTGATATTGACAGAGTTCATCGGGCGAGAATGAAAGTGAGAAACAGAAGTACCGAGCAAGTTCAATGCTTCATTGTCCGGAATAATGAATTTTTAATTACCCATAGAGGGTGTTGGGAGTACCGTTTAATGGCTGCATCGATTTAATTGATTTCGTAAAATGACACTAACATTGTTAAATGGCAGCAGCGATAATGAATGAATGAATTGGTTTAATGCAATTATACATGAGCTCTTTTAAATGGTATAGTAAAGTTTGTGGTACTACTTACTTTAAATTGGAAATCTTAGCTGGGTGTATACGTTTTTGTAAAATGCGTTATTGTGTCTGTTAATTTCCTGCTGAATTTAAGTCCAAGTGTAAAAAATAGGTATTTCTACGGGACAGTTGAAAACATCCACGATGTTGGCGCCGGTAGCATAGTGCCGCGGGAATGTTCGCTACAGGAGAAAAAAAAAAAACAAGTGAAAAAGCTGTAAATTCGGCCGGGACGAACTTTGACTACCTTCCACCATTTGGAACGAATTAAAAATTTTCAAAAAATAAAATCCGTTAAAAATTCTGTTAAAATCTTAAAAATGGCGAATATTGCCGTTAAGGTCTATACAACGTAAACCTACATACGTATTGTTTGTCATAAGCTGTTACCATATTCAAATTCGAAACTAGAAATAAACGGTGAATAATGTAGCTAAAATCATCGAAATACCGTATATAGGGAGGTACCGTTATATCAAAGCTATACGAAGACTTGGACCTGGAAAGACACTTTTCTGTCACAGGCTGTAGCATCCATTACGAACTTCAAATACGACATCTCAAACAATTTCGGTGAGTACCTAAAATTGTCGAAATACCGAATATAGAGAGGTACTTATTATTATTCAAAAAAAAAAAAAAAAAACAAGCTAAAGTAAGTAAAAGTAGTATACTTAAACGAAGACGTGGACCTGTATAGGCAAGTTTTGTCATAGACCATTACAATATACAAATATGAAACTAAAAAAATGCTGGTGAATAATGTCACAAAAACATCAAAGTATCAAATATAGGGATGCACCGTTATATGGGGGATATACGAAGACGTGGACCTGCATAAGTCATTTTCTGTCATAGGCTATAATATCCATTGTGAACGTCAGATACCAAATTTGAAATAATTCCGGTGAATAATATCGCTAAAATCATCAAAATACCGAATATTGGGAGGTACCGTTATATGGGGGCTGTATGAAGACGCGGACCTGCACAGACAACTTTCTGTCTTAGGTTGTAGTATCTTTTACGAACTTCAAATGCCAAATTTGAAACAATTCCGGTGAATAATGTCGCTTAATGTCGCTTAATATATATATATATATATATATATATATATATATATATATATATATATATATATATATATATATATATATATATATATATATATATATATATATATATATATATATATATATATATATATATATATATATATATATATATATATATATATATATATATATATATATATATATATATATATATATATATATATATATATATCAAAATTTGAACCGATTTTGATAAAATTTGGGTTCTGGGTATCAAATATCATTGTTTTGGGATGCATATTACGGATGTAGGGGACTTAAACACCAAATCGGATGAAACATGTATATGAGAGCTAAAGCTATGTATATCTGAACCAATTTTCACCAAATTTGATGCAGTTGATGCGGAATTAAGTCGGATGTCCCAAAATTCACGTTATTTGGACTGATATTGGCCATTTGGTGCACAATTAACCTCAAATCGGTTGAAGATATATATGAGAGCAATATCTAAATTTGAACCGCTTCTCATCAATTTCAATAGGGTTCGTCTTTGGACAAATATTGTTTGGAAAATTACATCTCAATCGGACATGGAATGCAGACGTACGGAAAGACGGACTGACGTACATAAATCGACACAGAAAGTGATTCTATGAACAATCTCAAAAGTAACTATGGGTCTATCTCGCTCCTTTCTTCAATGTTACAAACGAATGCACAAGGACATAATACCGTGGTAAGGTATTATGTGGTGTAGGGTATAATAACTGGAAATCTTTGCAAGAGAGTCTTCTACTTGTTATGAACCTAAAATTCCAGATATCAGCCCATGCTGCTGGTAATAACGAAGGCTTTGTGTTCTTTGCCCCAGATTTCAGTTGTTTTGGAGGTCTTGGATTCTATTTTAAGCTAGGATTGTCCTGATGGTTCGCATTAAGTCTAGTGATTTACAAAAAGCCCTGACGCATTTTGTTCTATTGGATTGGACTGTAATTTGGAATTTTGGTTTCGGAGGAGATAGGAACTGTATTACAATATTTTTTTCTTTAAACTGCAACAAAAACGCTTACGTTTCGGGCTGAGGGTCAATAGGGCTATATTTCATTCTCTAAAGACCTTAGAATATCCATTTAGGAAGGGGTATAATTTAAAAAACTTACCTTTAGATTACGTGATGTTTATCTATTAAAGTTTATTCTCTCTTCATAATCTCCAAATTCAATCGATCAATTTTATGTATCTGAAAAATAAAAAACAAAAGTTATAAATTACTGACAGTCATTTAAAATGAAAATTAAGCTTAAATCTACAAATTCATTTCTCACAGTGACCCTGCATTGCCCCCTTATCAAATAATTTAATTTTCATATATCAGATGGCCATCTTGCCCTAATTCATAATCTAACACAAATCTCTCTTCCTTTCCTCAACTTAAGTGTCAACAAAACATATTCGTAAACTAGTTGCCAATTGTTGCTGTCATGCCTACGGAGAAAGTACAATTATAATCTGCTGTAATTGAAACTGTCAACACAATACCCAATTTGGAATATGATAAAAATTTGAAATCGAAAACTATTCTTCTCAAATTTCAATTAAATTATTTGTTGTTGTCTTGCAAACAAACTTAGTTTTGCACATTCACCTGGTGGAAAGGCCTTCCACTCAACTCACAGTTGGATGAACACCTTAGATGTAGTTATTTTAGTTAGTTAGCTTCTTTTTGTCTCTGCTGCCACTTGTTGACTTGTATTATGACTTAAGGGACACCCCATGGCTGCACTGCAACAAGCCACCATTCAACAATGCAGCCATAATAGGAATTCCCAGGCGGCTAATAATACCACAGACAAGTTGTAAGTTAAGAGTCTACTAAGGTTGTCCAGTTAAAACAACTGTTTTGACATCAAACAACAAGAGCAACAACAATGTCGAAAAATTGTTGGGAGAAAATTTGCTTAGTTTTCATTAAAAAAAATGTGTCTTCTTCTTAGTCTGCAGAAGACCTGGATGTTTTCTATCGAGGTTTCTCATTGTCTGTAGTAGACCTGGAGGTATATAGAAGACCTAAAAGTCTTCTATGAACTTCGGACCTGCAGATCTCCTATAGTCTGACTAGACGACCTGGAGGTTTTCTACTGGCTATAGAATACCTGGAGTTCGTACAGGTCTTCTACAGGCTATAGTCTTCTGAGGCCCAGTCTTCTACTGGCTATAGTCTTCTAATGGCTATAGAACACTTGATTTGTACTGGCTATATAAGACTGCCTTTGGAACACCTGGAGGTCTTCTACTGGCCACAAAAGACCTGGAGGATTTCCACTGGCTATAGAAGAACTAGATGTCCTCCACTGGCTTAAAAGACCTGGATGTCATCTATTGACCACAGAAGACCTAGAGGACTTCTTCTGGCCACAGAAGGCTTGGAGGTCTTCTACTGGCCACACAAGACCATGGGGTCTTCTACTGGCCACAGAAGACCTGGAGGTCATCCACTGGCTATAGAAGAATTGGGTGTCTTCCACTGGCTTCAGAAGACCTGGATGTTGTTCATTGTCTTTTGGAGACAGTGATGTCCTCTGCTGGCTTTAGAAGACCTGGAGGTCTTCTGTGGTTCATAAGGGACCTGAAAGTCTTCTACTTGCTATAGAATATAGGACTTGGAAGTCTTCTACTGGCTATACTAGTCATGTAGAACTTGGTTATAGAAGACATGGAGGTTTCAACTAGCTACAGAAGACCTGGATGTCTTTTATCGAAAAAAAAGTCTACTAGGTATAGAAGACCTAAAGGTATTCTGACTTGAAGCTCCTGAGCTTGCTATAGAAGACCTGAAGGCGGCACTGTTTGCTGTAGAAAACCTAAAGATTTTGTACACATTATAAGAGAACTGAAGGTCTTTTATTGTCAATAAAGGTCTTCAGCTGGTTATAAAAGACAAGAGTCTGAAGTTGGTTGCAGTTTTTTCATCTCATCCTGTGGAAGACCTGAAAGCCTTCTACTGGTAATTTAAGACCCGAAGTTCTCCCACTGTCTATAAAACTCCTAGAGGTCTCCTACGTACCATAAAATACTCGGAAGTCTTCTACTGGTTATACAAGTCATATAGATCTTAGTTATAGAAGAGCTGGAGGTCTCAACTAGCTACAGAAGACCTGGATGTCTCTTACCAAACAATCTACCAGCTATAGAAGAACTGAAGGTATTCTGCTTGCTAAGGAAGATTTGAAAAGACCTGGATTTCTCCTACTGATAATAGAAGACCTAGAAGTCTTCTGCTGGCTATAGTAGGCCTGGAAGTCCTCTACTGGACACTACTAGCTATAGAAGACCTGAAGGTATTCTGCTTGCTAAGGAAGACTTGAAGGTCTTGTGCTTGCTATAGAGGACCTGAAGGCGGTTCTACTTTCTGCAGAAGAGCTAAAGGTTTTGTACACATTAAAAGAGAACTGAAGGTCTTCTACTGTCATGTCTCCTTTTGATTATAGAAGACCTGGAGGACTTCTGTTGGCTACTACTGAATATAGAGGACTTGGAAGTCTTGAACTATTGTTTAAGGCGAACTACTAAGTACAGAAGACCTGGGAGCATTTCTTCTTTTTTCCACCTGCCATAAATAACTAGCTTTCAGTTTTTGTGTTTACTCAACAGACATTTGTTTTGTTCACTTTTCGCAAAACATGCTACATTGTATTGCCAGCAGCGAGTTGCGACAACACAATTGAGGCACTTTGTTTTTATTTATTGGCGCAACAATTATTAACAGAGTTTTTGCTTTTTCTTTTGTTGTTACATCAATGAATCAAAAAAAATATATATAAACAAGAGCAGCAGAGGCAAAAAAAGTTGAAAACTTTAAATTCATTGACCCCAATTTTGTAAACGTTTCCAAAACAAAACAACTGCAATTGAATAAGGCACTCGCCATCCAGCTAGAGCCGGGCACAATATTTGTCAGTTGATTGGTTGTCTGCTCATCTGTTCAGACGCTCGAATGTTTATTTACAATTTGCTGCTGGTGTTTTAAGCGATCAAGTTTGCCAATTTTGGCGGGTGTTTGTGTTTTTGTGTGTGTGCATGCGGTTTGTTTGAACACATGTCGGCGGATGCAACAGGTGTTAGTCAAACAAAAAAAAATGTAAAATGTACACAATGAAAGAAGGGAGTAATAAAAATATTTAACTTCGTTGTGACTAAAATACTGAGGCTACACGAAATTGGATATTCGCTTTGCTATTTATACCCTACACCACAAGGTGGTCAGGGTATTATGTCTTTGTGCATTTGTTTGTAACAGGCAAAAGGAAACGAGATAGACCCATAGTTCCTTTTGGTGATTTGCATTGAATCTCATTTTCAGTCGATTTATGCATGTCCTTCCGTCTGTCCGTCTGACCATGTATTTTTGTACAAATCATTTGTTCGGCCCAAGGACGAACCCTATTGAAATTGGAGATAATCGGTCAAAATTTAGATATAGTTCCCATATATATCTTCGTCCGATTTGGCTTTTATTGTGCACCAAACGTGTAATATCAGCCCGAATAGTATGGAATTTTGCACATACAACCAAATTAGGCCTCAAAATAAGTATGCCAAATTTGATCGAAATCGGTTCAGATATAGCTATAGCTCCCATATATATATTGCTCATCCGATTTGTTATTTTAGTCCTCCGCAGCCGTAATATGCACTCTGTAACAACAATATTTGGGGAAATATATCAAATATTTGCTCAAATGGGATGGAATTTGGCACATGCGATCGAATTGAGTCTAGAAGCTAGTATGCCAAATTTGGTGAAGATCGGTTCAGATATAGCTATAGCTCCCATATATATTGTTCATCCGATTTGTTACCCACAGCCGTAATATGTACTCCGTAACAACGATATTCAGGGAAATATATCAAATACAGCTCAGAAATATCTTTGCCAAATTTTATCGAGATCGGTTCAGATTTGGATATAGCTCCCATATATATATTTATCTGATTTCAAATTAATTTTGCACTAAGTGGGAAATACAAGTCCGAATTTAAAAGATACACATGCTTCGGCATATTTAGTCCTTTGAACTTAAAATTACAATTATAATCATTGCGTGTATGATTAAATTCTCCCGTAAAATCTTTTAATTGTTATGTGGAGCTCTACAAAATTAGCAAAGTGGTGTAGGGTATCATAAAGTCGGCCTCACCCGACATTAGGACTTTCATTACTGGTTCTAAGGTAAATTAACTTCTTAGGAAATTTGAACCTGTTTTAAGTAAGTCATTATTGGTTTTTCATGATTTTTTGAAAATTAAGATACCAATTAAAAACGATTTTGCCGTGTTTGTTCAGGACATCGTAGTATTGTGCTGTTGAAAAATAGTTAGGCTTATTTTCATTACTGTTCTTTTTTAAAACAATGTTTGTTTATAAGTGGAGAAAGATGGTAAAGTTTACCAGGGGGTAAGGCAGAGAATACAGAGGTTTCGGAAAGAGCAAACAAACCTCATCAGTTCACTTGGTCTTTGTCTGGGGATATCCAATGAAAAAAACTTTTTTACCCAAGTGACGAGATCATAAGCTCAATAAAAGATGAACCAAAAAAGTCTTTTGTCGTCGGAGTTATTTTAAAATGACTCATGGGGATAACTCGGCACATCCCATTAGTTATACCAACACGGACCACTCCTTCTGGTTCCTCCCCCACAAAGGGTCAACATTTTGGTTACTTATAACCCTTATAACATACAAAACAAGTCAGCGATTCGCTTTAAACTAAGTATATCTCAATGTTTGACTAAACCCGAGATCTAATATGAATATCGGTCTTCTATTTTTGATACTTCCCCCACCTTGAATAATTATAACTTAGACTTAGGTTATATGCGAAATAGAAAATATTGGACCACTCCATCGGTACCATCTATATATACATATTAACTTTGTCATACCTTTTGTTACATCCCTAAATATTCGTCGTAGACCCCATGAAGTAAATATATTCATAGTCAGCATAAAATTCTAAGTCGATTTAACGATGTTGAAATCACAATGCAGCCCACATTGTTTGACGTAGAGCTTCAAAATTTGGCACTACAATTTTTTCTAGTGTTTAGGATGGTTGGTATTAAAAATGAGATATATCGGTCCACGTTTTCCTATAGCGCACATATAACGGTACCCACCGATACTCGGTACTTTAGTAATTTTTGTCACATTTTTTCACGGAGTTGTCTAAGAAATGGAAT